ACACACGATTTATTTTGTGATATCACCTTCATCGTGATTGAATCTAACGCCAGTAAATATATCCGGGAAGTAAATCTTCATGTGAGCTCCTGCAAGACATTGCTAAGAAGAATAGGAAAAGTAAAATTGCATGAGCCTTTGGAAGGTCTGAAACTTGAATTATTCACTCACTTAGGATGATCATTGTTGCCAAGCACACGGAATAGCCTCAAATTACACCCACTCCCATCGCCAACAAAGACAGAATCTCAACAGCCTTCCTGCAACAGATGTCGCCCAAAAAATTGTCTGTCGTCTTTGGTTTTGTTTAAATTGAGGTGAATATTACGCATTTCAGATCCACTTAATTGTAATGACGGTCCCATCGAAGCTTTACTAATACATGGAGTCACATATAACGCTACCCTTTCTATGCTTACGCATGGAAAAACTGGAATAGTCAAACCACATGAACAGAAGATAGTCAGCCACATTCTGATATCTGAACTTATGAACCACCGGTAATCAAAACTAATAGTCTGACAGGCAGCGGTTGAACTGCTCATTCGGAGTATTCACGGGAGGTAATGGAATCTGAACCTCATACCATGCCAAACAGAGAGCTACTCATAGTGATTCATCAAAATGTTGTCCCAGTGTGTTTGTACCATACTTTGGATAGAGAATATTTCATCAAAATCGCAACTTGGCAACCACTCACGGCCTACATCAGAATTTTATAAAACGACGCTTCACCTGCTGGTAATGACTTAATTAACCCGCCTGGTACAATTTTAGTGACCAGTTTATTTTCTCATTCTTATTTTTTCAGATCTGATACCCTATTAGGAAATGTAAGAGATTCACTTCAAACCGGAGCGACTGAACTCCTGGAACCAAGTCTTACTTGAAGGCCCTTATCGATCGTAGTTCTACCTCATTTCACACCGCGACAGCTGTCCTCATTTCTGAACTCTGTACCACACAGTGAAGGCAGCTAGTGTGAATGATATCAGCAGAACGTTCAGGATTTTATTTCTTTATCTCTGGTTTACACTCAACATGAGAACAGTGACATAAAGACATGAAACAAGTCAACTGGAAAATTAAGCAGCATGCCTAAATCAATCGTATTCACTCTAACTTCGCTAATAAGTTCATTGAACATGAGTTTAATATACTGGGACCATATTGAAAATTTCTCCCCTACTGTTCCAATTGTATTTACACGAGAAGTTTACTGTGTGATAACGGATGGTGTTGTTTATATTCTGCTGACTAGCACCGGTATTCTATATGGATGGATAGCCATTATTTACCATCAAAGTTCTCTGACACTGAATTGGTCGTTCGATCATTGGTATTTGCTCGAAGAACGTTATTGGAGAAGGAATTCCTTTCGTAAACGACCAAGTAATGGGAATTTTATTTTATTTTATTTTATTTGACCACTAACCTCGCTCTTCTTTGCTCTGGTTTCGGTTGGTACCTTTCAGCATCTTCCAGTAAACGGAAGAGAGAATAAAAGCACAGAGTGTAAAAGATCCAAAGAAATCAAAGTACCAAGCGAAAGTCAAGAAGACATGAAAGAGTCCGAATGCAACTAGGCCATTGGCAGCTACACCTAGCCATATCACTTGACGTCTCCAACCATTTGGTAGGCGGGTAAAGTGGAACCCAACTTGGAAGTCTAACAGGTTCTGCTTGGCCTAGTCCACTGATCAAGGCTTTCATACATTTTAGCCATATCATGGACTGACCACCTCGACATACCTTCCAACTACTAGCCGCATCAGAGAACACCTTAAGCAGAGGACATCTATCAGCAGGAATACGTACCACATGTCTCAGCCACCTTAATCTGTTTACATTCAGTAATTGATCCGTAGACTAAACTCTGGTTCCCAACACCTCACGCCTAACCTCAACGTTGCTGATAACGTGTTCCCACTATATTCGGGCAATGCTACGGAGACATTGACGTTCAAACACTGACAGCCTTCGTTCATCTTTTACCGTTAAAGTCCGTTTTGCTGAATTGCATAATAGAACGGACTCAACAGCCGCATTGTACAATCGACCACCCACAGACAACCGGGTGTTACATCGACGCCACAAATTATTGAGGCTGCAAAAGCCAAACGCGAATTACATGTGTGCGACGACATCTACTTTGGTATCTGTGAACCTGGTGAGGTGTAACTTACCAGGTAACAAAACTTATCCACTTCAGCTTCCCCACCAACATTAGGTTCGGTTTTGAGCCAACCCAATCCTAAAGCAGCATTTAACGGTTCAAAGGTGCAAAAAGCATCCCGAATACCGCTGCGCTGATATTTAGGAGATCCAAAGAAACTTGTAACTTTCCCGGGTGTTCACTTAGAAGAACAGTATCGTTCACGTGTTCCAGATCAGACAGTTTACCTCCTGAGCAAAGGTCGATGTCGCTATTCTCACTCGAGGATAGGGCCATTTCAAGAATCAATTCAATTACAAAATTGAAGAGGAAGGACGAAAGGAGACAATCCTGACGAACACCACTTCTCGTGGTGAACTGGGATGAAAGATCGCCGTGAGCATGAATTCGTCTTTGGGTGCTCTCATGCAAACATAGAAAAAGTGAAGTAAGCTTCTATGGCTCATCCTTCAACGATTGGCCTTCCTAGAGCATTGCGTCGTCGACTGAATAGAAAACCGCTTTCGGATTAAGAAATTAAGAGATTTTGGGCCTACGGATGATGTTTATGTTCTCTAAGGTTTGTCGAAGATGTGGTCGATACAACCACTGCCCGGTCTGAAACTGGCTTGATTCTCACACGTACATTTTTCGCGGGCTTTGGATAATCCGTGGAGATTAAACCCGGTAAGCAGTTTAGACGCGATACGAAAAAATGTAATAATGTAACTCGTGGGCAATGGTTGAGCCCTCAAGCTTGTAAGAAAGGCATTTATCTAGGATGGAAACTGTTGCTGCCATTTCCGAAATTTTCTCATTTTAACTGGTTTCTCTCACCAACATCGATTACACAGTGAAAAAGAGAAACGCCTTACTAAACACTTCCGAATATTTCGGTGCATAATAAGTGTAACAATAATATAGTTCACAGCATGTACGGGTAACGTATATCTCATGCACACTAACTGAAATTAGGGCGATTGAAGTACCGGTTGCCAAAACAGCTCAAGCACACTACCTCTCCCGAAAATAGCCGATGAGTATTAAGGAAAGTGAAGTGAGTTCATGCGAAATTGTGTTGGTTTAGAGTAAGCTGACTCACTCATTTAGCTCAAAAATAACGCTGTACACCGAGTCGAGTGACTGCCACGCAGTAGACGAGTCAGAGCTTCCCCTTTTCACGGTGAATATTATCCGAGTAATTACCTGTCTTTCCTCAGCTTCCGGCAGCCACACCAGTATGTGGGTGCACATTTCCAGTGAAACAAATACCTGCCTGCCTAGTACTTCTAACTCGTAGAGCATGCACAGTTGCGGCGATAGCAGCGGTAACAATGCTCACATGGATGAGTAACGATTTACTGATAATAAGGATATCCGGATTATCGTTTAGAACGCAAAAGTATGTTTGGAACAATACAGGACACGTTTGTCAGTTGTGTTTGAATGCTTCCAGTTAGTCAGCTTCCACTTCTATCCTTGCAAGTATTACCTAACAAGTGGATTCGTAATATGTTAGCAAAACACTGTAAACAGCCAGTTTCTTACCTTCTGCAGTGAGAGCTTTCTTGAAGGATCCTAACAAATTATCATACCGGCTTCGTACTTTTTACGTAACCGCAAGTCGAAAACACCACGTATAAACACGAAACACGCGCTGATGATACCGTCAGAAGTTCAACTGTCTAGCAAAAATACCGGCTAGTGATTAAAAGTGAACTTAGATGAGATTGTCGGTGGGTAGTAATCACTAACCACGGATTCACTTTTGGGAAGTATTTTAAATGTGTGAGTGTGAGATGCCAGATACAAAACACCGATACAAGATACTAATCTCACAGATGATTCCATAGATAGATAATCTGATTCAATAGTGCCCTCTATGATGGATGTAAACCAAAGAGTTCCGTTTATTAGTCTACTGATGAGCAGCCTTCCGACTTGTGCGTTTTTACAAGAGGCCAGCAATACCCTGAAATCCATGTGTGTACGTGCCATCACTGTCCAGTTCCGTTCAGCTTCATCCCCACCATCTTTTGAGCATTAAGAGGGTAATAAGTGAAACGTTGAACTTTGCTTTTACAAAGATGAAAGGGAATGCACTCTGCCTCAGTGATAATGATTTGATGAAAAGGACCATTGTCAACTCGGCTCAGTAAACCTTTAGGCATACGTTGAGAAGAAAAATAAACTGCTTCATTCCAAATAAAATGCATTTATCAATCAAGCTTTCACAGTTGGCATGCGTGACTATATCTAATGGTTAGATTGTGGGTTTCTTCCGACAATCGGAAAACTGGGGTAGATATTTACAAATCGAAAACAGCGAGCATCATCTATATAGATGAGATTTTGTGTATTTGTGTTTGTATGACAGTTCACGGTCGTATAACATCTCAGTTCTTTAGTAAATGACTCAGAGGACAAAATCCTTTTTCGATGTGAATTTGCGCTGAATTAAATAAATGAAACTGCACAGCTTTTGGATGGGCTTGTTTCTGTTGTTTTCTACAGTGCGTTGGCAACCGTAATGCTGAACATTAAGAACGCTAGGCGAGATACACTTACTAGGTATACATGATATCTTATAAAACTCAAACACGTCACATCAGAGTGTAAGGGACCAGTAAAATTCGATAAAGGAATATGTGGAGTAAAGTCTTGACAAATTATTCCAAGGATGGATAGAAGAATGATAACTGACAGAACCAAAATTGTTGAGAAAGAGAGACAATTGAACATTGTCACTTTCCGTTGACCAGCTTTTAAATAAAAATGTAAATTTGTGAACAAATGTACGGATAGAATGTGCGCAGCACATCCAGAGAAAGAGGGGTAGAACAATTCAGGATGAAGCGTCAGCTTTGGGGAGAAGCGAAGTAGGTGCAATGTCGTCTTGAAGTAAATTTTGATCGGCCTGACTATCTTCTTCCTCTGCCAGCTCGGGAACTCGATGTCCCAAAACGTCCCGTAGGCTGAACTGTTTCGTCACTTCCTTGGAATGGATCATCTGCAAAACGGCGACCTCACTGGGACTATGGGATACAATCAGTCTCCCGGCGACCTCATCATCCGTGTGTGGGCGGAGTGTCGGTGGCGATACCGAACTGGTCGAGCACTGCTCTTCATTGCCCGTAAAGTCCAGACGTTCATGAGAGTCAGTGGCTTTGTCCAGACTACATTTGTGCAGTTGATGGTATAATCCGAACTACATTCCAGTTAAAATACAAAGAAAGCGAAAATCCAACATAAAAATATGAAGTAGCAAAAACATAGACATCACATCCATCTGAAAAAGACGGGAAAAAATTTAAATACGATTCAACGGAGAATATCGACTGACTTCTTCTGTAAGCTCTCTGCGAATGGATGATCATAGACCATCATTGTTTTCACTGCACTTTGAAAATCCAAGCGTCACTCTAACTGATTTCTCCGTGCAGCCATTCCGGCTTTTATTGCACCTTTTGTAGAGACGATTTTTTCGGTGCCTTGGAAGACGATTCATCTACAGGAAGCGTCAGTATTGTTTTTAGCCTAGAAGACTTTACAGGCACATATGACTCAGTGACTTTCAGAGCTTGTATCCAGACTTACCTAAGGGAAAAATCAGCTTTGTCAACATTGTTTTTAGTTGGCCTATCCTAAAAGTAAAGACACTCAGTAATAAATCTCGGATGAAACCTTTCGGATAGGTACCACCGGGCACTTAAAGTCTGAATTCTGACTGCGTAAGATGCATGAAGATACGCAAACTGGAGCGGAGTTATTCACCAGTCCAATGCAGTTGGGTACATGGAAATAACTTGGTAAGATTCTAAAATCATTTTCATTAGCTCTGCAATTTGATCATGTTTGATCCACTCCCAAAATGTTTGAATCCCACAGCGTGCTCGCGTAGCTCATCTGATAGAGCGTGATATAGCTGCTAAAGCATAAGTGATGTGAATTTGTGGTGTCGAATCTCACAGAGGCCGATAGCATTTATCATTCATATCAATTGGGTGGAAACCATTGTTTCGTCCTCCATTAGGGAGGAACATCCAAATTAATCATTGTCATTTACAGGGCATATACTTTCAAAAACGTAGACATGAAAGGTGGCAGTCTTTTCCACCGGATTTTAGAAAGTCGATGAAACGGGAAAACACAAATTAGGAACGCTTCTCAGCTTGGCTTTTCATGTTCATACCGCGCAGAGTTTTGGAGCCACTCATGATATTGCGTTGTTTATGTGAATGAATGTTTGCTAGCTTTCATGGCCAACAGACACGCTCACATGTGCATGTCTTCCACATCTTTTGTATATTGTTTCTATAGATTTTAGCCACACAGTCCAAAACCGCATCATTTGTCTCGTGGACAGTTTTTATCTCGAATAATAATCTCACGGTCTTGTGTTTTGTTCGTAACTGTGACCTTGCAGCAACTTAACAGTCAAAAAGGTATGGTAAGAGGTGCATGGTGAAAAAGGTAAAGCCAAAGAAACATTAGAAGTCAGACTACGTCACTGACCGAATTACCCAGCCAAACCGTCTAAAGTTTCTAACCATCTGATAGGCGGATCTTTTGAACCTCAACCAAGAATTGCAAAGAGTCTTTCCCAACCACTTTCAAGAGTAAGGATTTTCGTAACTTTAACTACTTCACGAACTTACTTTCTCCATCCAACTTTTCAAAAAATACCTGTCCTGGACCACAATGTACACCAAAGACGTACATTTTTAGACACGCACAAAAATCGTCCCAACCACCTTACTCTTTTTCTACCCAGTGTTTGCTTTAGGTACTGAGCTGTGGGTCCTAACATCCTAAGCTTTACCTCACCAATTATGACGTGGTGTTTCTCCCGTATTCCAGCATTACTGAAAAGCCACTAAAATTCAAACGTCGATAATCGTTTCCTATCTTTTACTAGTACAGACGACGTATCCCAGTTACGCAAAAGGATGGACCTAAGCACCGTTGAACAAACTAAACCCTTGATGAGCAAACTGGTGTCACGTCATCACCACTTGATGGTGTGCGGGGTAGTCGAAGAGAATTCGTCTCATGAACAGACTGGAACTCAGCCAGAAAGTTTTGGGCACGTCAAATAACCGCTCTCTTCTAGGGGACTTCAGTTCCCCTTTCTTGGTTTTTTTTGTATAATCTTTTTTCGGGTTTTCCTGAAGGCTATATGTATTGCCTGAAACTCCATTCAGCTGAAAATCAAACCACTGACAATCAGATTTAGTAACCAGGTGTTGAGCAACAATTCAAACACCTGAATATGTCAAGATGTCAATAACTTCGATCATTTGCGGAATACCCGCAGTACCCAATCACCCATTACTGTACCTAATGTTATTCAAATTTTGATATCATGGATATTGCTTTATTCAGTTCGTACTGTAAATTTGTACAACCAACGACCACAAAAGCACACAACGGTATCGACGAGAACCAGTGACAGGGGCAATGCGACTTGTAGCGATGGAGAAACAAATAGAGCAATCAATATTTAAGGAACGGTATTATATCAAGGGATAACGGAATACTGTGTATCGCCATATTTGGCCAGTAGTAGCAGCGTTGGTTATGTAAAAGGACTGCATAAATAATCTTAACCCCATTGAAGGACATCAATAGCGGACATTTTTATTCACCTAATTTGTACCTCATTTGAAAATGACATTCCTTATATTATTCGCCTCTTTTCCAGTTCGGAGAGGCAAACCGTATATTACCGTTCTGTATGTCAACCATCAGGCAACGTTTAAGCCATCGAACTGAACTCTCCTGTATATTATTGGACAATAACTCGCTTTCTGAAAGCCAACAGCGAGGGCGAAAAATAACTGTTTTTCAATTATTTCATTCTAATTTCAGTTGAACAAATTAGAGGACAGAAATGTGTCCATCTTGACAAACGATGCAAAAATGGTACTTAAATTTGTTTGTTCAACAAAACAGGTCCAGATGAATAATCAAATTGACATATTTCAGTAGATCGACCGCTATCAGTTTACATAAATACCCCAAAATCGGAAATTTGATTCTGCTGTGAGGAGCCCAAAGTCGTTCTTAATAATCCGGATCCTATTTTATTGGTCATAAGTGGAACATTTTTTGCTCAGACAAGCATAACTTACATCTAAACTGCGTTGCTGTATCAGTCGATAGGATACCCTTTCCCCCGCGATTCGATCTGCTAAGGAGCATTGTAACTGATGTCTTCCTTCGGTATGTTCATTGTCGTCTTGTTCTCCCGGACGCCAAACACCATTCTCGTCCAAAATCACTGCTCTCTTTTTAGGAGTCTCTGCACCACCACCACCTACTTCTGGGTTTGGTGGGAACTTGCCTTCGAGACCGACGCTGTTGCTTCGAGTAACTATAACAGCAATAAAATCGAATGCATGTTGTAACCATAACAAAATTTTCCTTCAAATTGTTCAAAGTATCATTTTCACCCAAATCATCTCATTCTGTAGGATAGTATAAAAAAAGAAACTGAATTGCCCGGTGAAACAATGCCATGACTGGTGTAAAGTCACAACATGTGAAATTTTGTTCAAAAACAAAATGAGTGAGGTTGTACTTTTCTGACGGAAATAAGTACAAATACAGAAAATAAGTCTCAAGTTTATCACCATCTTCACTCTTCTCGGCGATCCCAAATAACAGATCATCACGTATGAGTGATATTCGCGGTAATTAAAATGTAAGGTGACCGTCTAGTTGAACTATGCTACTTCAATAGAAAATACTTATTCCAAAGAAATTTAGCCAATGCAGCGGTTCAGACAATCTACAAGACAGAAATAGACTAATGTGAGGGATTTGTTATTCATAAACGAAACGAAATGAGAATAGAATAAGCTTAACTATCAAAAGATTTGAATCTTTGGTCTTATGGCTGTTAGAGTAGCGTGAGAACCAGCCTGAAACAGTGACTCCAGAACAGATGTGCCTCATGGTGTGCTGTCAACAATGGATACGCAATCAGAACGGTCTTACCAACATGATAAGCCTTGCTCACATGTTAACATGCCTCAGCACCTGGTCCATCGTCTATCGGATACAATGACATTCTGAAAAGATCGGGAGAAACACGTAAACCTTCAGTCAACCGAATTTGCACGATGAAATGAACTGTGATCGTTTGGTAGTAGACTTATTCTGTGTGTTGGCGTGCTTTCTTTCTAGCCAATAGAAGAATTTCTGTGGTAACGTGTGATAGAAGCCTAGAGTTAGACCGCAAGTTGCAAAAGTCGACTCAAAGCACAAACAATACGCTCATTTTGGTACTGAAACTAAAGAAAAGCGCAAGCTTTGTTGCTGGTTTTTACCGCCTTAATTTCGTTTCAACTCCTAAAAAGAGGATATTTGTCAGAGGATTCAAGCGCCTTTTGAGTGACGCGATGTTCACGTCCGCACTTAGGGGTGGGTGAGCATTGTTGTATCAGTGGGTGCTGACGCTGATAGCCAGACCGAATAACCCGATTGTAAGTCGTGTGTAACCCAAAACCGTGCACTTCAGGTTCTAGTCTGCGAGGGTAGTGGTTGTTCCGTGACCAACAGTTTGACCTTCCTAGCAGACCAACACCCTAACAGTGAGTCACAGGAGGCACAAGCTGAGCCGGCCCAATATCGAGGTCAAGGCTTGTGACAATGGGAGCTCAAGGGGCAAGACAGAGCATGGATGGCGGGGCACGACAGATTGAGAGATGAATCCTGTCAAGCTTCAACTAAAAGCAATTGAAAGGTTTTGCCGCGCCCACTAGTCGAATCAATACGTTTTATGCGACGAGTTGCTGCAAAGACCAACACTTGTGAAATCACAGTGATTTACTCTAATAAAACGAGATAGTTCGAAGGCACAGGGTTCTTCTCACTAGGGCTAGTGGGCGACCACAGAACAAAGTCCTGGTAGGGACTCGGTAGATAAGTACTTCTGATGATTTCTAACAGCAAAATGAATATGTGACCCGAAATAGATAGAAGTGTGCTTTTTGGTGACCTGACTGGTGGCATTTAGGGAAGAAACCATAGCTTCCTTTATTGTGCGTACGAGTACACAATTTCGTAGACGTTTGTAGAAATGACTAACTGAACTTGATTTGTGTCTAATTTACGTTTACTGATGTTTGGCAGCTTTGACAATGTTTTGAGGTGATCCAAATGTGGAAAGCCTCTGGCCCCGGCGGGGTTCGAACCCACCCATCGTCGCCACTCTTGCCTTAGTACCGCCAGTTCTCTACCAGCTGAGCTACGAGGCTACGCCGAAGGACCTTCGACTTTCTGCATATGGATCACACAGTATACCCGCCCAAATTACAGTAGCACATGGCATCCACCACAGTGAACTAGCTTGTAATTTTACTGCCTACAGCAGGACTTCCCTTTGTAGTAACTGGACTCCACCAGTTAAGTGCATTGGGCATGTTTTCAATGTATTGATGTTTGGCAGATTTCGATAATGTGGCTTCGTAGCTCAGCTGGTAGAGCACGCGCGGCATTAAAGTGAGGGCGGCGACCATGCGTGGGTTCGAACCCCGCCAGGGCCAGAGACTTTTCACATTTGGATCATCTCAAAACATTGTAAAAATCTGCCAAACATCAATACATTGAAACCATGCCCAATGCCCTTAACTGGTGGGGTCCAGATACTACAAAGGGAAGTCCTGCTGTAGGCAGTCAAATTACAAGCTAGTTCACTGTGGTGTTTGCCATGTGCTACTGTAATTTAGGCGGGTATACTGTGTGATCCATATGCAGAAAGTCGAAGGTCCTTCGGTGTGGCCTCGTAGCTCAGTTGATGGAGCACTCGCGGTACTAAAGCGAGGGTGGTAATTTACATTTGTTTCCTCAACCATATTACTGTCTACTTTGACAATTAGTTTGTAGGGATAGTGTTCAAAATAAACACCGCAGATGGTCTATAACCTTTATAAATATAACTTGCTTCCAATCGGTTGTGGGTCAAGATAACTCAGTTGGACTGATTACCGGGTAGAGAGTAGCATCTAGCAACTGCTTCTCCGCTTCTACCAAATATTTGTTGTCCCGGTTTGATTAAAAATAATTTCTCCAAACTCAGTGTTCTGTCTCATTAGAAGCTATTCTAATCATGATGCATCAGCCAGCACTCTTTGCACAAAAACGATTGACCCAAAATGTTTGGTAACCTTGGCGTTAACACGACAGACTTCACTCTCCCCAACGTACGTACTGTAAGAACTTTCGATCGTGCCTACTTTAATGTTGCATTTACCCCCTGCTGTATCATGCATATATACTGACACGTTTTATGTCCGCGGTTGACAAGAGTAAACGAAATGTCTGCATCTCGCGACTTATGTCTTCTCTCTGTTCCAATGAATTGGATAAAGTGGACTCAATTTTTCAAATTTAGCATTCATATAAATTATGATTGTGTATTTTCAAAAATTGCTGTTTATCCGAACTTATTTGCTTGAAGAGCACATCTGTCCATTTACAATTTCATTTCCATAAAAATGCCCAATATGAAAAGCCAAACTGAAGTTTTTCAATTTGCAATAAATTATAACCCTTCCGTTCTGCAGTGGAATCATCAAACAATGTGGGTGATTTAAATGAACACGCTTCAGATACTGGGTGTCGTCGTAAGCTACAAGTAGTGGACCACAGAACTGCAATAGTAAATGAATTTTTTGTAAGTCTCAGATGTTATTGTTGGAGATAGCAACCTCCCGGTATTCAACCATCACCACTCAGTAAAAAAGTCGACCGGATAACGGGGAGAATATACTCATTATCCCGGGATGTGCGTCAGTCGTTCTGGTTTCTGAAACTAGCCATGTACGTATTCGAATATGTTTTCGGTTCAACTTTGTTTGTTATCAGTCCATTTCATTCGTTTTGAACCAGTCAGTAGTTCACAGGAGGAGCATCATTCTAAAGTATGTGTAAACACTAGGAACCTTCTTTGGCTTTTGATAAAAGAACTTTTACTTTATTTTGAAATGGTGGGATCTAGTAAGGTGAAGTACCAAAACTCATACAAAAAACTGATTTCGATTGTTGTAAGGAATCAGGCAACTAATTGGCCAATTCTCACCTTTTATTCTTATTTATTCATCGGTAGGAAGGTGGAGATAAGCAAACGTAAATCGGAGACATTTTATAAACTATTTTCAGATCCACCTGAAATTTGATGAAACCGGCAGATTATTATTTCCTCCCAATTTTTGGATAGTCATTGAATAGCGTGCTAATTCATATAGCAATGTTTCAGTTACCATGTGGAATCACATAACTTTTTCGGAATAGGCTGGGTCATCATTCAGTCGAAGCTTCCTCCGGCGATCATCTTTTCTTTTTTTGGTTGACTGTCCTTTGGACTCCACGTTTCACACACAAACCTCAGGTCATCCGACCAACCTGCACTCGAAAGCACCAGACTCGATCTTCCTTTCAACAGATTCGGCCCCTCCAACTATCATTTTACACCAGTTTTCCACTGTGGGTAGTTTATTCAGGTTTACCATCCTGTCTTCTTCCCCAGAAGGAAAAATACTTGACAAAACTAAACTCTAATTTTTCTGTTATCGTGCTTAGGATGCTTCCAAAGTGACCGGAAACGTGTACAGTCCGTTCTTTATACAATTTATTCAGAGCAAAACTCTCACCAAGTCAAGCTTGAATTTAGTCATTTCACTGATAAGCTATGAAGATCAATATGGCATTATTCGATTAGTTATTCGTTTTACCGTTTACATCTGTCTTACTGAATTTGTGGAGTTTATTCTGTGCTTTTTATTCTGTTTGTGAATGGGCAAAAGGTTTTTCCAGGCCATTTTCTAAAGCCATAATAGGAAACACCTATACTGGTAAAGCACAAACAAAAAAGCTAATAACTTAGGGCTGATTTAATTTAGTATGAATGATCCAGTAAGAGAATTCAGAAAAAGAATTACACACTGAATAGTGCTGGAACGTTTTGGGAAATATAAATGTCTGAAGACGATCCGGTCATCGTCCTCACACCCACACGGATATCAGTACCTTCAGTGAAAGATTCGCTGCCTCCCTGTGCCAAATCAAACTTTGTCTATCAATTCACATATGAATGTCCGGGAATCTTCACAGACAGAGCAGGGAAACACTTGTGTCACTGAATAAATCAGCGTATTACGGTGTGGCCTTAAAAGGCGATGAGTAATGATGACACAATCAACTAAAACAAAACGCTTAAATAATCAATAATGCAGTATCCAATTGAGAAAAAAACCTTGTGTAGCTCCAATTAGCTTGTTAAAGGTATGGCAGTAGCTATGTTCTGATTTGCTGAGGTCCTAACCATTTTCAGTTATAAACCCATACTGCGTAAACAAGTTGTATGGCTCA